ATGGAGACGTTTCATCGCAAAAAAAAAAAGAACGCGTACAGTGGCACATCCAAATTCACAAAATAAACTAGCGAATTTCAGTCTACTTTCACAATTTCCACCGGAATACATGAAAATCCGTTTTAAACGTTATTTTATTTCTTATATACCGATTCAGTTGTTAATATGAAATATAGATTCAGAGGGCCTTCCCTGTGTATTACAGTGGTCAGTAATAAATTCGGTGTTGAAGTGTCTCCTGACCTGTTAATTTAAAAAGAGCAGTTATCATTGAATGAAAATTACGTCATTTAACTTCGAAAATTTACATCCCATGTTGTTCTGTCTTTTGTTGACGTAAATCAGTAACACTAGGATACTGGAAAGACCCGTTCTTCATGTGTCTCAGCACTTCGGATCAGACGCGGACAAACATCCATGGCTTGAGTGGGATTCGAACCCACGGTCCCAGCTACCAAGCGGCACAAGGCCCACGCCTCAGACCGCGCGGTCACTGCGGACCCCAAATCAGTAACACAGTTTTTGTTATTCTTGTGGTTGTGTACGTACGTGGTTATGGGGTTGAATCCTCAATAATTAATTCGTTGTGTGTTTCATGCAGCATTTACATAAAACAAAGACTTACTATGCCACAGTTCTGTATATTTTTAAAATCTGTTACCCTGCATCATTGTATGGTTCTGTTGTAAGTGACGTTAGTGTCGATACCACGCCCCAAATTCGTTTGTTTCCCTTAATAGTATTATCGATTGTAAGAAATGAAAAAAGTACGAATTTTGGGTGGACGTCAGTGGCATAACTTCCGTAGAGGTCGCGCGAGAAGTGCTGACACTTCCGCAAAGGACTGATGGACCAGTCCGAATCACGCGCTAGAGGGGTGTCAGCTCCAGTTGGTTTGTAGCTCTAGCCGTGTTTACTGTTCGCGACTGTAATCTTGAGACTTGCAAGGAATGCAGGAAGTCCGAAGCGTTAAAGGCAGACGCAATCTTTCCTCATCCACCCCACTTCCTCATCTCGTAAGTCTCAAGATTACAGTGGCAAACAGTAGATCGGTGCGTCATCTGCTATTTTTTTTTATTATTAAGTGTTCTGTCTGACGACAGGTCCATATGAACAGGATCCTTCCATCCTTTTTTCGGACTGGGACCTGTTCATATACGTTCAAGGCAGATGATCCAGAAGTGGTTTGCCATTGCCTTCTTCTGTGTGTGAATGGAGTAATTGTTGGGATGCCACGGAGGAAAACTGCGTGTTGCCTAGACCACGGCCTTGCCCAACACAAGTTATAAATTCGGGCATCTGCTATGAGTAAACTAAAAACATTGCCATACCAAATTTAATCGATATCCGTAAGGCGGTTCTCTAGTTGAATTATGCGGACGGACATACATAGTTGGCCGTATGTGTGCAAAAAAACTGCATTATAACTTCATGTTGTAGCATAGTCCTTGTAGATAAGCTAAGTGTCGTTGATCTCGTCAAGAAATTCCCCAGCTCAAAGGTCCATCACACATCCTGCCTCTGATTTCTATCATAAGTGAGATGAATCCAGTTCGAACCCTCGTTTACAGTTTTAAAGACCCAGTCTGATATTACTCTCTCGCATAGGCCCGCCATTTTCCTTTCATATTTTTCAACAAAAGTGGTTTATGCATTTCTAATTTATCTCTTGCGTGCTACATGTCAACTCCGTCTCATACGCCCAGATTAGGTCAACCTAATAATATCCGACGAGAGTGTAGCATTATAGAGCTGTCATTCACTCACAGGAACGTTTGGAAGAGGATTTGAAAGGTTTCGCTGTATAATCTGAAACCGTTACATGTGTAATGTCTGACTGCGCACTCTGTGTGATTAAGCTTCGTATCTGAAGCCAAGCGGGTGGAAGGCATCACAGCTGGGATCGATACCATGGTATAATCGAGTGAAAGACGTGGGAATATCGGACTGTTTCCTTGTTCCTGTAGAGTTCAGTCCTTGCCTTATATTTAAAAGAACAATGTTGCTACTCAAATGTGGGAGGTCGAGCTCAGCGGTGCGTCGTATCACTTAATAGAGTTGACGTTACAGAAAGAAGAACTCATTGTCCAACCTACCAGCAGTTCGAAAACAGCTCTGTCTTACTTACTTTACTTACGGTGGTCTAGCGGTTAGAACGCTGGTCTTGTAATCCTGGGGTCTCGGGTTCGATTCCCGGCGGTGCCCGAATTTATAACTTGTGTTGGGCAAGGCCGTGGTCTAGGCAACACGGAGTTTTCCTCCGTGGCATCCCAACAATTACTCCATTCACACACAGAAGAAGGCAATGGCAAACCCCTTCTGGATCATCTGCCAAGAACGTATATGAACAGGTCCCAGTCCGAGAAAAGGATGGGAAGGATCCTGTTCATATGGACCTGTCGTCAGACAGAACACTAAATATAAAAAAAAAATAAAATCGATGATATGAACGACTTGTAGTTCCCCTGTGTCATCGATTCTCACCCATTTTCGAGATCTCTATCAACACAACCTTATCGATTCGCGGCTCTCAATGTTATGTAAGTGAGGACAACTTATTAAACGCCATTGTAGATTATTAAAAATGCTACTAAATTAGACCCACCATTGCAAACAGGTTCACATATTACTCAATAATATTTTTTAACAAAGTAATTTAGTGACATATTAACACTGCTTATGCTTAAACAATCCTTTAATATCAGGTTTAACAGATGATGCTCTAATTGTAAATCGAACATTTCGATAGAAAGAGCATCATTTTAATATATTTTAAATATTGAATATTAATTGCAGTAATAATATTTTAATATTTAATAAAATATTTTATTGTGATTAGACGGTTAAAATTAAACAATCAGGTTTAACGTAAAATTACGATTCCATTGCATCCCTCCAGGTTTTCATCAGTAAGACGTCGTCTTGATGTGAAGTACGTTCATCACCAAGCTAAACAATTGCTCACAGCGATAGATATGCCTAATACTGCTAATAATTATGACTACATTAACAAAAGATTGTTTTCTGTTATCAGGTAACTGTTTTTTTATCATAAAGAGTGACGGAATATTATTATAAACTAATGTCGATTGGTGATCTGTATGTTTTTGAACGTATCTACCCCTGTCGAAAGCCGAACGCCGGTCACCAGTTCACAGTCAGCGTCTTTACTGAGCTGACCCGGGTTAATTCTGCTGTATAGTTAATTGTATTAGTCATTCTACACATTTAGTACGAAGTGCATTGAAAACGGCATAGAAATACCAATGTTGGCGTATAATGTTACAGAAACATTACTGCGAAGATAGTAGCCTATATGACGAAAATGTGTTAGTCTGTAATTTCAACGTTTAAGTCTAATCGGTGGACAGACGAACACAAGAAAGTTTTTCTTAATGTGTTTCTAAAAAGGGAAAGAAAATGAATTATTTAGTTTTATATTTCCCCCCCTTCATTACGTTCTGTTTTCCTTCATATTCCGTTCTCTCCTCCTTCCACCATTTCTCTCTATCTTGTCTACTTTCTTTCTAACTTTTCTCGATCGCGTCATTTCTCTCCCTGACAATCAACATGGCCACCGCTCGGAGCGGCGTTACGTCGTCATTTCTTGTTTTCGAGTGTGAGAAAGTAAACAGAGCCGGTCTCCATGGTGATGATGACGCACCTGCCACTTGTTGCTACGCTCTATTAAAATTGCGACACGTGGCTGCGACAAGACTCGCTCCGGCTCGAGACACTTGGCAAAGCCCCGAGCGAGAGCACTCCTCGATCACAGAGGAGAGGTCATGTCCGTCTGTCCAAATGTGTCATCGCCACAACAGCTTCGCGATTTCGATTAAATTTAACCTGAAGAATTTGCATTAAAAGTTGTCGTCGAGGTGTTTTGATTTTGGACAGATTTCTGTCATACATAACCTATATTACATGAAGCTCAAATAGAACATGAATTTTCTCAAGACAGTAATCGTATAAAAATAGCCATGTACTGTAAAATGTGTGGCTTCCGATGTATAGAAAGGCTTGGCAACGAATTTTCAAAGATGTCTATCCGGGCCATCGATACTGAGGAAAGAACCCGACTTTTCGCAGATTGCATCTGCCTCCATCATCAGGGATTGGCCAGTAGGAGAGTAGCGGGCAAAATCAGGCGGTCGAATATCCCAAAATAAACCACGCTTAACCTAGAAAGGCTGTGGACGACGATAAGTGGTCATCCATTGTGCATTGGACCACGCTGGATGTTGCTTAAGGGAACGGCCTCTCACAGTAGAGGCCCGGGTTCCAGCCCAGAGCAGTCGTTTGTGGTTGACAAAGTGATATCGGGACAGGATTTTTTCCTGAGCTTATGAGTTTTCCGCTGTCAGTATAATTCCACCGCTGTTCGTTATCCAATCATGGGCCCCTTAGCGGGGGCAGTTCCATAAACAGTCTCATTCTTTCGCAGCAGTGACATGAATGCGAAATGAATGTGGACTGCTGAAGTATATTATCGTTCGTGTAACTTGTGATCTCCAACAGCGAAGAACATTTCACTGACTGCGTTACCAAGGTAACATCTTTTCCATGACGCTTTCGTTGGTGTTGAACCTCTGGCTTCCCGTGTGCTCCAGACATGGTGCATACAGACGGAAACCACGCGGGGACAATTCTGGACCGTAAGGAAGGTGAGTGTAGCTTGGCGGTGAGTCATGCAGATCCTCCTTGGAGCTGGGAGGTGACAGTTGCGGTCCGATGACCGTGGTGGCCACGGCGTAGGAGTCTCCGGATCACGACCGATCCAGCGTCCGGAATAATACGTGCCTAACCACTCCCTCGTATTTTTTTTTTTTTTGGCATTTGATAATAGATTTATGTTCGTTTGTGTATCGACATGTTACATCCGTAATTGTTTCAATTATGTTTCAGTGACGACGGGAATGAAGCAGGAACGTTAAACTTCATGTTGGGTGCATGCAGCGTGGAATTGATCTTTCGATGTTAAACCTGTGTTTCTGTTTCAGGACACACGGACTCATGTCGTCGTGGAAATATATGACACGGAACGCTCTTACGTCGAGTCGCTCCAGATTCTAGTCATGGTGAGTGCCCCACACGATTGTGTGAAGCGCATCGAAGCTTTGTCGCATTGGCGTTAGAGTGCACCACGTGTTTCCTGATTCAGCTACCGATTTTTCTCATGTTCATTCCGTCAGAACCGGCCCTGAGAACCCTTACAGCCTTCTCTGAAAGGGTACCATGTAATATTTTAGCGGGTATGAAGCGACCAGAACATGAAGTTGACTCACTCAGGCTCAATTTAATATGTCGATCTCCTCCTCCCCAACGTCCCCACTATAAGTTCACAATGTGGTGTGTTAGAGAAAGGGATATTGGAGTGCTAACCACCAGATCGTGACGTTTGGTTTCAGAAATACATATGTTTATTTGTCAAAGTATTTTGAAGGCAGAAGGAATAGAGTCGACACTGTTCATATTAAATATACGGCGAGTAATGAAGGAGGGACGGTGTTAATTTTGTGACTGTGATGCCTTCTTGTCAGTCCGTGTGTTCAATCCTGTAGCAAAGACAGAGACGTAACAACAGTCTCTTCGTAACAGCGGAATTGGCGACTGAGCAAAGCCACCGGCTGGCAGGTGTTAGTTGTGTGGTAAGGTGGGGTGTCAGATCAGTGCCATGAACTCAAAATAAGTTGCGTCTCGACAACACAGTAGGAGTGTCCAAAACTCACGTTCGGCTACTGTATGTATATAGAAAAAAAAAAACCATACGGTGACATGTACTTATTATAATAAGAACGGAAAAAATAATCTTAAAGCACTGAAGTTAAAGGTATATATACATTTATAATTTTGGTAGTTTTTCTGTGTGGACTTGTAACTTGTTGAGGGAAGAATATGCATGACAAGTGTTTTAAAACAAATAGGTTATGTTGTCGGAGATGCATTGCGTGAAATCGGTACGGCCGTAATTTCAGCTGTTTTATCTCCCATTGGGCACGTGTCACAGACAAACGCTTTCCGTATCCCAGTAATTGCGTTCCCAGTTAGTGTTTTGTCTTATTCGGCAGTTCATTGTCAGCACAGCCATTACTAAATTCGAAACGAGCAGCAGCAAACGATTTCGATGTTCGAGAATGAACAAACTTTCTGCTCGTTTTCTCAGCCATATTCGCACCTGCGCAGAATTTGTTCAACGGTGTGAACCTAGTAACATGTTTGTTGTTGGATTTTGTTTTGAAAGGAACGAAAATTTTGGCACTCATAAAGGAAGTGATGATAAAAATTACTGTTGTAATATCCAAGGTATCGTGAATGTATAAGCCCCGCTGGTCGTAATATAATACGTCATCTCAAACAGAGGTTCTGGAATATTCCAATTCCTTTAGAGTGCTGGCATTGACGTCAGTCGACGTCAATAAATACGTTCCTCTGAAAGCCACTCGTCAACACATGGTAATGTTTGTGTAGCACGTCGTATAAAAATGGTAAATTAATCAAGTTTGAGTATGGTCGTGTTGAGTTATTGTTCGTGTTTCTTAATCCTGTCAGGAACTTGGCAAACTTTCATTATAGGAACAAATTCGTTATTTTATTAGACAGCTAATTTAGGGTAAAACTCGTGAAGTCTATTTCCTAGTTGCACAGACTTCCAATCCCACAAATCTTTTGTCGTAAATGTGATATTTAGGTGACGTAAGTTCATAAATAAATGCAATTTTGCTAATGGGTTTGCGTGCTGAGCTCTTGCGTATATCGTCACAGGATCCAATCCTACTTTGATCACATCTCTTTTATAGTTTGAAGTTGTAAATATATTACGTATTATTTTTCCGGGAACTACATATCTCTTCAATAAAGATTCTCTGTACGTTAAACGTCGGTTATAACCTCTTAGATTCGCACTGTTGCCGTTTGTAATTATTAAGTTATAAACAGTAATTTATACATAATTTGGGGGTGTATTTATGAACTGTCTACATATGAATTATGGTTTTTATATGTACAATAGCACATTAGTTATCAGTGTCAAAATGAAAAATCTAAATTAAAAATTTGGCGCAATTTCTTTTACATTCTACAGTACAAATGTACTGTCACCAAAGTTTCGTATTTTTCGAAGCTCAGTAATTACGCATCATTGCAGGACTCTGTGTTAAGTGTCGCTAGTGTTCCTTCCACCTCACAAGTTCGCGCAGCCTGCTGTATAAAGCATCACGGGAATGTGTTAGATCGATATGTACGAAGTCGATCATTTTAATTTGTGGCGTATATTTTGTTACGGTTTTAAATCACAGCTTTCTTTGTGTATGGTTTTCCGTTAGCCCACATTATGTATTGTGTCTGGTATGCCATTTTCTTATCAAATAAAATAATTCTCATACTTCTAAACAAATATAAAATAAACGAGAAGTCAGGTACAAAGAATCGATTGGGGTATAACGAGACTTTGTACAGTATCCTGGATCAAATTATACATTTCTACGTCACAAGCTTGCGAATAGAAGGAATAAAATTCAAACCAAACCTTTTTTCATATTGGAAATTATAGTGCAGCCTCGTATTATTCAGTTAAATGTTTGCTTATGGGTGTGTGTGTGTCTGTTGCAGAAATATTTACAGCCCCTAAAGAGCCCCGAAAACGCCGGCCTGGTGGATTCAGCAGTAGTTGATGCAATGTTTTATCAGGTAATTGGGTCACACACGCTTTGTATTTCTGAACAGATTCAAGGCTATCAATAAGACTCATTATACAATGTAAATTATGTGCATTATGGACTTTGATCACGTTCCATTGTCTCTGAGCTATGGTGATGAAATAATCTGGAGGAATGTCTGTTATCTTCAGTACTGCACTGGGGGTCATTTGGGTAACACGTAATAAGGTCTAAAATTTGACATTTTTTTTACCGGCGAGTGGTGTCGTTAAGGCAAGAACTGATGATGTCATTACGTATACATTTTTAATATTGTTGCCTATGTTACAAACAGATGTAATATAATTATTATTTATTATAATGTCTTCCAATCTAAAACTCGTTTGGTTCCTACAACAGACGTATTTATTCCTCATATAAGTTACGTATCTTTCCAATTTTGTAGTTCAGAATTATCGCCTTAACAATTTATTTATTTATTATTTAGTGTTCTGTCTGACGACAGGTCCATATGAACAGGATCCTTCCATCCTTTTCTCGGACTGGGACCTGTTCATATACGTTCTTGGCAGATGATCCAGAAGTGGTTTGCCATTGCCTTCTTCTGTGTGTGAATGGGATGCCACGGAGAAACCGGGGAAGCCCCCGGAGGAAAACTCCGTGTTGCCTAGACCACGGCCTTGCCCAACACAAGTTATAAATTCGGGCACCGCCGGGAATCGAACCCGAGACCCCAGGATTACAAGGCCAGCGTTCTAACCGCTAGACCACCGTGGCCATCGCCTTAACAATACTGGATGAAAATTATGAATTATCAGTCACCGATTTATATAATTTTCTTCACGGTTGCTGTATCTGATACCGGATACTGGGAACGACCCGTTCTTCAAGTTCCTGAGCACTGCGGGTCCTAACTTTTCGTTGACTCGATCTATAAGACATTTTGGTAGGACTCCTTGGATGAGGGATCGGCCCGTCGCAAGGCCTCTACCTGTACACAGGACAGCACAACGCGGATAAACATCCGTGGCTTGAGTGGGATTCGAACCCACGGTCTCAGCGACCAAGCGACACAAGGCCCATATCAGATACTTTAAAATATGAAATGTTAGAATCTTTTAAAGTTCGTTTTGTATTTTTCGTAAATTCTTTTCTGTAGATACCCGCAATTCTTGCACATCACGAGGTTTTCCTTGAGGAACTGAGGAAGAGATTGCAGCACTGGGACATCAAACAGAAGGTTGGAGATGTTTTCCTGGACGTGGTAAGTGAATTGTTTGTTTTTAATTCGCTCGTCATTCACCACAAGCGACGCGTCTCATAAACATGTGTACTTAGGGTTGCAGTAGATATTTTTGTTCGCGTGACAAACGGACTAACAGGATAGACAACTTATGCAAAATTAAGTGTTATAAATCGTGTACATTTACACTTGAAAATAATATTTTATAAAGTTTAACATTTAACTGGAGTCTGAAACTGAATTTTTAAGAATGTAAATTAAATAGTGTAGTTGCGTCATATTGTGATTTATTAAATTAAAATTAAATTATTTGGTTATTCCGTCAAATCACAATGTATTTAAAATAAGATAATTAAAATAGATGTAAACATCAAAAGCATCACTTCAAACAATACAGTTGATCCATTATATGAAAATATCTGGACACGACCTCCAAAACACTACACTACGAAAATTTGTAAAAAATTGTAATTGAGTTTTAAATTTAATATAATTTTACTCCTGATGATGGTTTAATAAAACCGAAACATGTTGTAACTGTTCCAATTGTAAATCGATTATTCGATATGGAACACAGAATGATATTTTAATTATTTTAATTATCTTATTTTAAATACATTGTGATTTGACGGAATAACCAAATAATTTAATTTTAATGTAAATTAAATATGCGTGCCTAAATTCGTATTTAATTTTTATTACTTTCAGGTGAGAGAGTTGTGACAAATTACGAGTTTACGTGATGATTAATCCTTTCGTTGCCATGTTTTTAAAGCCTATGAATATTTAAGATTTTACTTCTGTACTGGTAGTTTTCTGTTGATTTTATTACAAGGAAGGAACTTCATCTTATCTTTTGTTATTTGCGTCTGGCGCTAAAGTTTTAATGTTCACAAGGCGTCTGATATGAGTGAAGTTGTGGTTGGTGTAAGGAACGAAAGTTTTTTTTTTAAAAATTCATTTGTGGTTATTGAAGCAAGGTCCTACTTCGACATTGAACATCACATTCACGTAATGTCTTGAATTATTTTCAAGACATTGTAACTGATTGGTGTTTTGTTTTGTGTTTTATAGTTCACAAAAAAGGCTGTAATAGAAACTTACACGTTATTCCTCAACAACTTTAAGACGGCAAAAGAAGCGATCAAGGCCACGTGCCAGGCAAAGCCTGCATTTGCCAGATTTCTGGAGGTAAACAACAAAACAGAATTTATAATAAAGCCGTATTTAAAGTAAATTAAAAATACAAGTTTTGATTTATATGAGCCTTATGCATTTTTTTGTACATTTTATTTGATCATTTCCTTAAGTACCACACGAAGACTGAAAACAGAAGAACACATAACCTTCGATTTACGCCGGGGACGCGTTCCTGGACGAACCGGCGTAAACGGAACCGGCGTAAACGGAATCGGCGTAAATTGAAACTCTTTTATAATGTAAATCAGTGGGAAGTCAATGACATGCGTTCCCAGCACCCAAACATTGACGAGTAATATAATGGCATTACATTTAAAGCTCTGAAATAACGTAAATAAAATAAAT